TGAATACTTAGACATCTCTACTGTATAGTGTTTCAGTATACTCCTTTTATTTTCCTTTGTTCTCCACTGAATTGGCTACTATCTGTCCATTGGCATCTTTTAGCATTTGAACATTCTTCTGATTTAAGAGATCTTTTGAAAGACTTTCCTTGCTTTCCGTGTCTGTTTCCATCTTCAGTGTCTTTACAGATGTTGTTATAATACTGCTTTTTGTCTCTTCTAACAGCTCTCTGAAACTCCTTGTTAATTTCCCTTCTGATATGTTTCTCTTATTTTGACTTTGGCTTTCTTCTTTACTTTGCCATTTCCACTGTTTGTTCTGACGTCCAGTTTGCTTTTCTCACTTTCTTCATTTTTGGCAGTCTTTTTTTCATGTTATTCCTTAATAATTTTAAGTTCATTACATAATTCCTCCGGTTGTCTATTACTGAGAAACAGAAGTTCAAGTAAATCCTTGATATGCTCCTTGAAAATAGTGGCTACATAAATAATTTTCAACTTATGACCACAGTTGAGACTAGAATTTCAATTGCTGCAATGAAGTTATAAAATGAGAAACCATGCGATTACATTACCAGTTGTTAGCCAAATACCAAGCCGAGTCTAAACCATTTTGGTTTGGGGCCCTTCTAGATCCAAGCTTCAGTAAGGAAAGGGCTGCCTCCGGCTCCTCCTATCTACCTATCTCCCCTCCTCTCTGCTCTTTTGCCTATCCTGGATCCTGCTCTACAGCCAACAGTCCCAGAACCAAGCAGATCTGGGGCTGCTTGCCATGCTCTGCAAGTCATAGGCACCCGAGCTGAATCCCAGTTACCCTCACTATCCAGCCCTCTGCTGCCTCAGCTGACCTTCCTTCTCTTCTTGTTTCAGCTGCTGACGAGGCATGCCTGGCCTGGTTGTTAATCATACGGGTCTGACATTGTACAGTGAAAAAAAAAAAAGCTCCTCTAATTCTAGCATCTTGCAGAAGTTTTAATTTTATTCTGGCTTTCTTATTCTCCCTTATTCTGGTATAAGGGAACTAAATCGCAGGGCTATTTTAGAAGGCATTATATAAGGGAGTCTATGGTTGAATTGGGAGAAAATTAAGAGAAAATGTTATTTGAAAATCCCAGTCTGGTTATCAACTATTGAAGCTTTTTCTTATCCTATAATATATGAGAAGGAACAAACAGTTAGATATGGGGAAATATTGGATGAAAAGAGTGAACTTAAAACAATGCAAAAACTAGAAGAACAAGGCATAAAGATGAATTGGTTTTCATATGCGCAAATACATTCAAGGTATCTTATAGATTCTAAAGCGGAGGGATTTTATGATAAATTGACTGATTTAGACAGGATCTTGACAGGTACTGATGAAAAAGTGATTAAAAAATTATACACTTATTTGTTGGAAATTTTATTAGAGGAGGGACAAGTTAAAGAAACGATGATTGTTTGGGGGAAGAATTTTGAATATGGGATTGATTTGGAGAAATGGGAAAAATTGTGGTCTCAAAATTATAAAATGACAATGTCAACAGCTTATAAAGAAAAGTTGTATAAGATGTTTTACAGGTGGCATTTTCCCCCGACAAGAATTGCAAGAATGTTTAAGAACAAATCTGAAAAGTGCTGGAAATGTCATCAGATACCTGGCTCATACTACCATATGTGGTGGACTTGTGAGGACGCTAGAAAATATTGGACTAAAATTCGCATATGGTTGGAAAAAATGACAAAGATACATATAGACTTGAAACCAGAGATTTTTTTATTGGGAATCTTACCTGATATATATAATAAAAATTTGAAGTATTTGATTGTAAATATATTAACAGCGGCTAGGATTGTATTTGCTAAGAACTGGAAGAGTGAGAAAACTCCATCAGAGGAAGAAATTATTAAGAAAATATTGGATTGTGCTGAAATGAGTAAATTGACATTTGAAATCAGAGAACAAGAAGATAAACAATTTTATGAAGTTTGGGATCTTTTTTATCAATGGTTAGATAATAAAACATAATAATAGAATATTCAGATTTAGCATAAAAAAAATTTTTTCTTGATATTATCTTTATAAAACATTATCAAGATAGATTTGGTATGATCTTATGATTTATTGCAAAATAAATTAAGTAAACTATAGTTATCTCGTTAAAATATGAATTAACAAAATTATAGATAAATGATTTTTTTTAGTGATGATATTAGGTTATACAATTATTGATTGATAATATGAGCTATTATGTAATATAATTATATTAGTGACTAGGAAATGGATGCACAAAAAAAAGTGGTAAACCAATCGATGCACTGTATGTAAATTCATGAAGAAGGAGGATATTTTTATGTTTTTTATGGTATGTTTATGTTGTCTTGTTGTTAAAAGAAAAAAAAAATTATAAAAAAAAAGAAAAAAAAAGGAGATGGAGCTTAAAGGGGCCTCAGCATTCCATTCGGGTAGTTTTGCCCTGAGAAAAAGGGGGGGAAAGGGGGGAAATATCCCTTCCTTGAGCTGGAATGTGCCAGTGTTCTTGGGGATTACTTGTGTAATATGACATACTCAGGTTTTATGCTGTGAATTTATTTGATTTATAAAATGTTAATCCGTTTTTCAGTAGTAAATAACTAATTCCAATGTGAGGATAATTAAAAGCCATTTACAATAACTTTTAAGCAGTTGAAACTTCTAAAAATAAAATATTTAAAACCAGCTTAAAAACAAGCTACATGACAATAATGAATAAGACCAGAAGGCACAATAGCGTGAAGATAAACTATATCCAGGTGAACATTATGATTCTGAGTAGTTCTGGGGAAATTCCACTAGTAGGGCACTTGAATCAAAAATGCCCTTTCTGGGGTCACAACACACAGTAGCAAATTGCTGGAAAATATGGCATTCCCAGTAGGTCTTGATAGACAGTTACATAAGGACACACACACACACACACACACACACCTATAGGTATCCAGGTTCATATCATATAAAGCTACTGTGAATTTGGCTTGATAGCAAATTGTGAATAAGCACTAACACTAACACATAAACATTCACACTTTTAAAATAGATAAAGAATATGTTAGTGGTGGTCCCCTTCAATGAACATGTAAAAGTTAACCCACATTCGGGATAAAATAGATTGTTATGGAATCTTCAGCTTAACTGGCTTGGAATTATCCAGTTTTGTTCCTGAATATGACCCCATAGATAGAAGTGGGGCAGTACAGTGTCTCTAACTTTCAGTATACAGATTCAGGATATTATTGTCAACAGTATCAAAACCTGCCAGCGAATCATAGAGAATAAAAAAGCTATAATCTCTTTACTTTTTTGTAAAGATCAACCATCAGTGACTGACCAAACCAAGGGCGATTTGGTTTTATAACAGGTTTGATCCGGAAACTGGGCAGGTCACCTAAACTGAGATGTATCTAAATAAATACTAGCTGATAAGAGTATTTGAAGCTGCTAAGCACCATATTGAGATATTTATGATGCTTAAAGTCCAAAAACAACCTTCACATTTTGAAAATTAAGTTAGCAGTTTTAGTTAAATTTTTCATTCTTACAGAGCTCTTTAGTACATTTCTGAGTCTATGTACTTGAATGTTTAATTTTAGAAAGTGCTATTTCACATTCTCCTGTTTTACAGATGGTAAATTTTTTGTCCCATTTTTAGTGGCATATGGGAAGAATCCTTCATGCTTCTTGTCAAGTGCTTTTATGAATGTCTGTTGAATGCTTGTGCCTTTTTTGTCAAAATTTACAGGTTTGCCATCTGCACTTAACTGAAAAATAGGTCAGCATGTATGATTTAATAACAGTACTACCTTGTTTTGTTTTGACTGTTTTGAAATTCTTGTTCAATATGGCATTAACTAGAGATTTTTATTTATTTACCCCTGTATCTTATTTTTTCTGTGCCACATATGATATTACATTTTGTAAGGCAAAATCATATCATATAATACACTTTGTGTAAAAGGAACAAATCCTCTTTTAATAATGCTTTAAATTGTAAAGTTTTACAAATAATCATTTGTAAATGATTTACAAATCATTTACAAATGATTATTTGTAAAACTGGAGGATCATATTCAAAATATGTTCTTAGAAACTTCCAATTCTTTTTCAAAATGTTCCATCTAAAAATTGTTTCTAGTTAGCTAACTAATAATTGTTTTAAAAAGTGAATTTTAGTATTTTTATTCTATTGAAAGATCAGATTCTACTGCATATTATGAAAATATCTGTATGCAGTACACTGAATTTTTCTTAGATTCAGTCCTCATGTACTATCTACTCATTTCTGTTGTAATACCACTAAATTTAGAATGGTTGGTTGTATTTGATGAACTGTTTTTAAAATGACAATGAATTAATATTTGATAGTAATACAATATTACTAAGATAGCTTAGAAAAAAAAAGTGAAATGATTCCTCCAATAAGAAAATTGAGAATAAAAAGATCAGCTTTAAGATTATCAATTAATTGAAGCAGTACCAAGAAAAAAAGGTAAAGCAAGGATTAGAAGAATAATGGATTGGGTTTTTTTAGTATTATTAAAGTAAGTGGATAGAATCAATAGAACAGAGGCAGCAATCCTATGCATACATGAGACTGGATGTCATTAAATTAAAGGGGCCTTAGATCTGAATAAACTTGAATAGAAAATGTGAGTAGGAGTAGGTCTAGTAATTCTGAATTTTTATATAGTGTTTAAGAATATTGAGCTTGACAAAACACCCTGGAAAAAGCCAATGACAAACCATTTATGAATTGTTGCCAAGAAAATAACATATATGTATCCGTGTAATATCTGGGAGACAAGCTCAATTTCACAGAACTTTGATTACTCAAGGACTTAAGTATTTAATTATGGGATGCTTATGTATCAGTTTGCTTATTACATAATTTATTTAAAATACTTTAAAATGATTTTAAGTTGTAGAATTCTTTCTTTAAAACAAAAAAATTCAAATGTTGCTTTTCTTTAAACTCTAAACATAGGACTCTACTGATGGCTACATGATTAAAACACATTTTCTGCTGAAAAATGGAAGTATCTCTTCAGGCAGAGTGGACATAGTAAACGATGAACCAACATTTCTGTGTGTTGAGGTATGGAACATTTCTGCTTTTGATCAAACCAAGATATTTTAATACTATAATTTAAATAAATAAATTTAGAAATATGAAAATCTATCAAATCGGTTACCAAGTAGATTATAAACTTAATTGGAATAATTACACAATAGTTTAGGCTGTTGTTCATGTATAATGTCAAGATTGCTTATTAATCATGTTTTGATTGTAAGATCAAATGTTTCATTATATATCAAACGTATGGAATGGAATAGAATAGAATTGTTTATTGGCAAAGTATGATTGGACACACAAGGAAGTGCATAAGTTCTCAGGGTACATACAAGAATCAAATGATAAATCTTGATCATAATCATAAAATATATAATCATAAATCATAAGATACAGCACTCAGATAGTCACAAGATATTAAGTAATCAATCAATCAAAATCATAATAGGATTTATCATAATAATAAAAGCAATCAGCATAAATCATAAGATATAAATAACAAAGATATAGTCATAAGAAGCTAAGGAAATAGGTAATAGGAAAGATGAAAATATGAGAAGAGTAATGGGTAATACATCCCTACTAGGTAGTAGTAGGACATCCTAGGGCATAGAGAGCGTTGTGGGAATTAATTGTTTAGCAGAGTATTAGCATGGGGAAAACCTGTCTTTGGGTCTGATTGTTTTGGCATGCAATGCCCTATAGCAGGGGTGTCAAACTGGATTTCTTTGAGGGCTGGATCAGCATTGTAGTTCTCTTCTGTGGGCTGGCAGGGTGGTTGGGGACTGGGAGGGTAATGGGACGGATGCCTCCTGCATCCAAAATGGGGCCCCACTCCTCATTTTTTACCTCCACTGCCTCCTGCAGCAGTCTCCCAGTCGAAAACAGGCCTCCTGGAGACCTCGCAGGGATTCTGCGCAGCCCATTTTTGGCCAGCAGAAGCACCGTGGGCTGGTCCTTTGATATTTCTAGACCATAACTGCAGGCCAGTTTTAAGCACCCCCACAGACTGGTTCTGGCCCATGGACCTTGAGTTTGACACCCTTGCCCTATAATATTGTCTTGAGGGAAGAAGTTAAAACAGTTTATGTCCAGGATGTGAGGGGGTCTATAGATATTTTCACCTCTTTCTGTCTCTTACACTGTACAGGTCCTCTGTGGAAGACAGGATAGTGGCAATTATTTTTTCTGCAGTTCTAACTATCTGCTGAAGTCTGTGTCTATCTTGTTTGGTTGCTGTGCCAAAGCAGACACTTATAAGGTGCAAATGATAGACTCAATAATTCCTTTGGAGAACTGTATCAGTCTTGGGCAGTCTGAGCTTTCTGAGTCGGCACAGAAAGAATATTCTTTGTTGTGCTTTTTTGATATTACATGTCCTTTTTTAAGTCCCGAGATATTATAGAACCTAGAAACTTGAAGGTTTCTACTGCTGATACTGTGCTGTCTATTATTATAAAAGGTGGTAGACTAGGATGGCTTCTCCTAAAATCTAGTCATCTCTATTGTTTTGAGTGTATTCATTTCAAGATTGTGTGGCTGCACCACAGGGCCACTTGTTCAACTTCCCTTCTATATTCATAGTGGTCTCGAATGAGACCAATCACTGTTGTATCATATGCAAACTTCAGTACTTTAACAAAGGGATTCTTTGAGATGTCGTTGTTGGTGTGTGTGTGTGTATGTGTGTGTATGTATGTATGTATGTATATGTATATGTATGTGTGTGTGTGTGTGTATATATATATATATATATATATATGTGGATCTTTGGTTGTTCGGGTTTTCTCCCGCGTAAGATTCAAAGTGTCTAGGCAACGTTTCGATGAAGTCTCATTCATCATCATCAGGCCTCTGTCTTTGGCTCTTGCTTTTCAGAGTTATATATATGTTTTCTGAGGTTCTCGCGGGTATTTGTATGTGGATCTTTGGTTGTTCGGGTTTTCTCCCGCGTAAGATTCGAAGTATCTAGGCAACGTTTCGATGAAGTCTCATTCATCATCTTCAGGCTTCTGTCTCCGGCTCTGTGCTTCTCAGAGTAATGGAGATTGCAGCTGCTTCCTCCTTTTAACTGCCAGTGGGGGTGGGACTTGATTGGGTGGGGGCTTGGCTGTGTTCTGATTGGGTGGGGGTGTGTTCTCATTGGTAGGGGGTTTGGCTGTGTTCTGATTGGTTGGGGGGTTAGCCGTGTTCTGATTGGTTGGAGGCGTGTTCTGTTCAGGTGGGGGCTTGGTTGTGCTCAGGTTAGTCTTAGTTGCTGGGGGATTTGAGCTTGTGAGCTGTGATCTTGCTGTTTGGCTTCGAGTTCATGGTCGTGCTGCATCTTCATAGTGGGAGTCGGTTTGCTTCATGTATGGCTCGGAGGGGTTTGAAGTGGGTAGTGATGCAGCTGCAGTTCAGCTTCTGGTCCATGGTCGTGTCTCATCTTCTGAGTGGGTGTGAGTCTGTTTTCTACATGGAAGTGTGGTGGTGGCAAATTGCAAGGCGTCTAATAGTGGATCCACACTGGTTTTCAGGTAGGCCAGCACTAGCCTTTCAAAGGTTTTCATAATTACAGATGTCATAGCAACTGATCTGTAGTCGTTCAGCTCCTTGATGGAGGGTTTCTTAGTCACTGGGATGATAGTAGAGTGTTTGAAGCAAGAAGGAACATAACATGTATCTAGTGATTTATTACAAATGCAGGTGAAGATGGGGGCAATTGGTCAGTGCAAACTTTCAATCAAGAAGGAATTAACTTGTCTGAGTCTGGTGCCTTTTCAGGCTTTTGTCTGTGAATAGATCTTGGACATCTTTTTCTGTGTTCACCAGTGATGGGGGTCCCAGAAAGATGGAATAAGTTGTAGGAGACTTGGCTGTTGTTTTTGTATCTGAGATGGAGAGGATAGCAATAGTTGACAGTGTTTTCCTCTCAAACCTACAGTAAAACAGATTCAGGTAATCTACCAGTTGTTAATTGCTTAAAGCATCGGGAAGAGGTTTGCTGTAGCCAGTGATATTTTTAAGTTTGGAAATGTTTTTCACATATTTGTTGAGAGCTGATTCTTGAGCTATTCATTCAGAGCAGCTTCTTTTTGCTGTTCTGATCTCTCTTGTTAATACATTCCTGGTCTGATTGTACAGCATTCTATCTCCTTTCCTGTATGCTTCCTTTTTGACATGATGTAGCTGCTTGAGTTTCGCTGTGAATCAAGGTTTGCTGTTATAATGCCTTTATTTGAATAGATATGTTCAAATGTTAGCATAAGCCAGAAGCAATTGATGCAATGTCATTTATAAAAAGTGCTATTTCGTATCTGAACCAGTTTAAAGGTGAAATAAAAGAGAATAGCTAACTAAAATCAGATTTAAGACTAATTGCAATAAATAAGATGATTTTCTTGTATTTATTATAATTAGAGGTTACACATACAGTCATAATTAGGACTGAAATTTTCAACACTAGGTAATGTGCTTACAATCTGAGACATCATGTGATCACATCGCTTAGTGATAACAATCCCAATTTCCATTGTTAATTATGCATTATTAAATACATGTCTACGCCAACACAAGCTGTTCTGGGCTTCCTGAGCTTCAATAAGGTAAGGGATTGCTTCCATTTCCTTCCATCCATCTCGTCCCTTTGGCTGCCTTCTATCCTTGCCTTGCAAAGTGGCAGCTGCCTGGAACTGCATCTGCCCCAGTCACAGCTGCATTCCCTTTGTCCATCCTGCAAGCTGGGATCCCAGTGTCTTGCTTTCTACCATCCCAGCTGATTTTTGCTGTCTTCCTGTTCTCACTGCTGTTTGTTCAATGCCATTGCAACTTTGAACAGTGACTGAACAAATGATTGTTAGCTGAGGACTCCCTGTAGTGTTGTTCCTACTTGAGTAATTAAAAAGCTGTATGTCTGTGGAGATTCTCAGTCATCCAGGTCATGATTGTCCCAAAGGTATATTTTCAAGAGGCAATTGGACTTTGTTTTTCTTTGGCGACGTTTCACTTCTTATCCAAGAAGTTCTTCAGCTCTGACTGGCTGGTGGAGAATGGAAGGATTTATATTCCTTGCAGACAGCTAGTCATTTGCATTCTTTTGGAGAGTCATTAAGGCCATTTGGAGGTTTGTCTGTGTCCTCAGGGTTACCTGAGTAATGTAAATGGGTGTGGAAACCTTCTTGGAACTGCAGAAAGGACTATCTTGTGGAGATGTGCTTTCTACAGAATGTTTTCTAACCTATGGCTCTTTGGGTTAAAAAGCTGTAGAAATTTGGAAAAGGGAAATATATTAGGAAAGAAAAAATATACTAACAAAATCTTGGGAGGTACAGTTTTATTCTTTTATTATTATTATATTGTTATCTAATTTTATCCCACCATTGCTAGAAAAATTAGATTTTATCTAATTTTATCCCATCTTTTTGTAATACTCTTACCTTCTTTTTTTTACCACAACAAAAATCCTGTGAGGTTGGGTTAAGAGAGAAGGATGTGCTCTGAAATCATCCAGCTGACTTTCACACCTAAGACAGGGGCCTAGAAGTCATAATTTTTTTATTTCTAGTCCTTGATTTACAACTGGTTGCTTACTTAGTGATTGTTTGAAGTTCTGATAGACCTACTAGGAAGTTCTGCGTTGCATATAGAGCCATTTGCCAAACCAATTGGTCATGTGACCATGTTTTATGAAGGTTTTGCTGAACACTAGTATTTACTTCAATATAATCATAGCAAACCATTGGATTGTTTAATGACTGCAATGTTTGCTTAATGACTGCAATGATTCACTTTACCCATCACCGCAAAAAAGATTGTAAAATTGGATTGGTCACATTCTGCCTAGCTTCCTAACAGACAGGAAGCAGCAAGTGAAGCTAGGCAGAATCACATCTGATACCTGTACAATCAGCACAGCCCCCCCCCCCCAAGGCTGTGTGCTTTCTCCATTTCTCCCTATATACCAATGACTGCATCTCAAATGATCCATCTGTTAAAATACTGAAGTTTGCTGATGACACAACAGTGATTGCTCTCATTCGAGATAA